ATTTTAGGTTCAGGGGTACATCTGATTTGTTAAATGGGTAAATTGTGTGTTGCTGGGTTTTGCTGTATGAATGATCTTGTCACCTAGTGAGCACAATACCCAACAGTTTTTCAACCATTCCCTCCCACCTTCTCTGCTCCAGCAAGTAGTCCCCAGTGTCTACTGTTCTCATTGTTGTGCTCACAGATACTCAATGTTTGGCTCCACTTATAAGTGAGAACATACAGTATTTGGTTTTCAGTTCCAGCATTAATTTACTTAGGATAATTTCCTCTAGATGTGTCCATTTTGCTGCAAAGGATGTGATTTTGCTCTTTTTTAAGACTCCATAGTATTCCATGTTGTATCTCTATCATATTTTCCTTATCAAGTCCATAAATGATGGGTATCTAGGTTGATTAGATGAATTTGCTATTGCGAATAATGATACCATGAACATGAGTTCATGCATCTTTTTCACAGAATAATTTATTTTTCTTTAAGTATAAACACAATGCTGGAGTTGCTGGGTCAAATGGTAGTTATAAGATCTTTGAGAAATTTTCAAACCGCTTTTCACAGTTGCTGAACTAATTTACATTCCCACTAATAGCATTCCCTTTTCTTTGAAACTTTGCCAACATCTGTTATTTTTTGACATTTTAATAATGGCAGTTCGGACTCGTGAAATTGTTTTGATTTGCATTTCTCTAATGATTAGTGGTGTTGAGTATTTTTTTCATATATTTTTTGGCTGCATGTGTGTCTTCTTTTGAGAAATGTCTGTTCATATCCTTTGTCCTTTATTTAATGAGGTCAATTGGTTTTTGCTTATTGTATTGTTTATGTTTCTTACAGATTCTAGACTGTTGGATGCAGTTTGCAAAATTTTTTTATTGCATTTTAGGTTTTGGGGTACATCTGAAGAACATGCAAGATTGTCGCATAGGTACACACATGGCAGCGTGACTTGCTGCCTTCCTCCCCTTCACCTATACCTGGCATTTCTCCCCATGCTATCTCTCCCCAACTCCCCACCCCCCCGACCCTCCCCTATTTCAGTTATCCCATTCTGTAGGTTGTCTGTTTACTCTGTTGAGAGATTCTTTTGCTGTGCAGGAGCTCTTTCATTTATTTAGTTCCCATCGTTCTGGGGGACTTAATCGTAAATTCTTTGCCAAGGCTTATGTCCAGAAAGGTATTTCCTAGGCTTTCTTCTAAGATTTTTTATAGTTTTATGTCATACAGTTAAGTCTTTAATGAATATTGAGTTACTTCTTGTATAATGGTAAGTTTCAAACTTCTGCATATGGCTAGCAAGTGATCTCAGCACCATTTCCTGAATAGGGTATCTTTTCTTCATTGTTCATTTTTGTCAGTTTTGTCAAAAATCAGTTGGTTGTAGATATGTGACTGTATTTATGAGTTCTCTGCCCTGTTCCATTGGCTTGTCCGTTTTTGTATCAGTACTGCCATTTTGCTTACTGTAGCCTTGTAGTATAGTTTGAAGTTGGGTAGTGAGATGCCTCTGACTTTGTTCTTTGTGCTTAGGACTGTTCAGTCATTTCGGCTATTTTTTGGTTCCATGTGAATCTTAGAATAGTTTTTTTTGTTGTTGTTGTTGTTTTTCTTTTTCTATTTCTGTGAAAAATGATGTTGGTAGACAGGAATACCACTGAGTCTGTAATTTGCTTTCAGTGGTATGGTCACTATAACAATATTGATTCTTTCTATTCATGAGTAGGTTTTTTACTTGCTTATGTTGTTTCTGATTTCTTTCAGCAGGATTTAGTAATTCTCACTGTAGAAATCTTTTACCACACTGGTTGACTGTATTTGTATTTTATTCTTTGTGTGGCTAGTGTAAGTGAGATTATGTTCTTGATTTGGTTCTCAGCTTGAATGTTATTGATGTGTAGAAATGGTACTGATTTTTGTATCCTAAACTTTACTGAAGTCCTTTGTCAGTTCTAGAAGCCTTTTGGGAGAATCTTCGGGTTTTCTAGGTAGTCTACCATAGTCTGCCAACAACAACAAAAAAAGATAATTTAACTTTCTCCTTTTCTATCTGGATCTATTTTATTCTTTCTCTTGTCTGATTACTCTGGCTAGGACTTTCTGTATTATGTTGAATAGGAGTGGTTGGAGTGGGCATCCTTATTTTGTTCAAGTTCTCCAGGGTAATGCTTCCAGCTTTTGTCCCTTCAGTATGATATTGGTTGTGGGATTTTCCTAGATGGCTCTTATTATTTTGAGGTATGTAGTTTCAATGCCCAATTTGCTGAATATTCTTAACATGAAGAGATATTAAATTTTATCAAAAGCATTTTATGTGTCTATTGTCATGAGTATGTTTTTACAAGATTCTGTTTATGTAATGAATCACACTTATTAATTTGTGTATGTTGAACCAACCTTGCAACCTAGAAATGAAGCTTACTTGACCATGGTAAAATAACTTTTTTATGTGCTGCTGGATATGGTTTGCTAGTATTTTGTTGAGGATTTTGTGTCTATATTCATCAAGAATATTAGCCTGACATTTTCATTTTTGTTGTGTCTCTACCGGGTTTTGGCACCAGAATGATGCTAGCTTTGTAGAATGAGTTAGGCAGGAGTCATTCTTCCTCAATTTTCTGGAATAAATATAGTAGTATTAGTACTAACTCTCCTTTGTACATCTGGTAGAATTCAGCTGTGAATCTATCTGGCCAAGGGTTTTTTATTTTTGCTTATTTGTTTGTTTGCTTTGGTTGGTAGGCTGTTTACTACTGATTCAATTTTGGAACTCATTATTGGTTGAGGATTTCAATTTCTCCCTGGTTTAATCTTGGAAAGTTGTTCGTTTCCAGCAATTTATCCATTTCTTCTAAGTCCTCTAGTCTCTGGGCATAAAGCTTTTCACATCTCTTGAAATGTGACAAATATTTATATTTTCCTTAGTAAATATTTACTGAATACTTAGCCTTTGCCAGTACCATGCTAGATTCTTGGAATATATTGGAGATATACATATGCGTTTGTGTGTGTGTGTGTGTGTATGTGTGCGTTGGTTTCAGTGTTTGATTATGTGATTTTTCTACTTTCATTTCTCTAGTTCTAGAGAATACATTGACTTACAATATAGTGGGACAGTTTTGTAAGAAAGATGTTTTACTCATTACGTAGATTATATAATAAATATTGAGATTCACATATTTCAGAGGGTAATACAGTATCATGAAAGCTGATTTTTTAACAGATGGCTTTTGATTTCCAAACTAAAAAGTGAATAGGACTTCATTAGGTACCAAGAGAAAGATGGGAAGGATGGTCACTATGGGCAGGGAACAAATAAATGACACTATATCAGAGAGATGGCATGGTATGTAGGCAGATGGTAAGTGACTGAATGTGAGAGGCTAGCTATTCTATATCTTATCTGTTCTCTAGCAGCCATTCAAAGCTAAGTTGCATAATGAAAGCTCTTCTTTGTTTCCTAATTTCTTTATTGTTTTCAGAGATAATAGCCTGCATTTCTTCTCTGAATATTTTTGTTATCTATTACATGTTATATTCATTTATTTCAGATTACAGCTTTAACACAGCAGTTTACTACATTCACAGTGAAACACATGGTCCTTCCCATAATCTTTACTGTTAATGCTAATAATTAGTCACATTCTCCTTAACGCATTCACTAAAATCTAGCACTTTAATCACTGCAAAAGGAGTGTCTACAAATAGCCCAAAGCCAAACAGAAAAGTTGTAAGGCACAACCATTTTAACTGATGAAGGGGACACAAGGGAAATGAAAGTCTCTTAAGTTATGAACAAGTTGTTTTCTCAGATCTCATTGTTTCTATCATTAATTTTAAAAGCATTAAGATTTAAGCTGTTATATTTGTATATTATAATTGCATTGTATATTATTATGTCATGTCATCTCAAACTATATATAAAACACCTACTTAGCATTTAAGTAGCATCTTAGCATCTAAGAGAGTAAAACTATGAATTCTCCCAGTAAAATAAATCTGTAGTTTGTTCTGTTTGCTCTGCATCTTCTGAAATGTGACATTTAAATGAACAAAATGTACACTAAATAAGAAACAAGAGGCAGAACTATAAAATGTTAATTAGAAAATAACAAACTCTTGGGCTCAATCACTGGCTCTGAATCTTATTATAAGTATAATCTCTGGTAAATCACTTACCACTTCTGCATGCTTTTAATGTGTAAAAAGAATAATCCTCTTCCTCATCGTCATCACTATAATGATATCATATAATTTTATACAGTAAACATTTTACATTGTGGCACCCATTACTTTTCCACTTTATGCATTTGGTCCTTTCACCCATACTTCTCTTCACCAAAATAATTTGATGAAGTTAAATCAAATAATGCAAAAATATCAGTTATCAATCAGTATATTTGTAAGATAGAACATATTTTGTTCATATTCAAAGATATAACATTCATAATAGTCTCTCTTATAAAGGAAATTAAATACTCATATATTTTTCTTTGCAGTGCACATTTTAACATGTCATAATATGTTTTGTTATTCAGCATGCCTATTATCAAAAGCCAAAATGCATGTGTTTATTTAAGTCAATTCCGAACGCTGTGTTATTTTTCAAAGATTTAATACTATTTAAGTCATAAATTTCTAATGAAGTGGCTTAAACATGATAGCCAAGAAGCATTTATTTTTAAACATTTTGCAAAATATACTTTTGTTCATCCTGTTGCAAATCTCAGAAGTTTTTAACCAATTGGAATACAAAAAATTATTGGGGCTTTTCTTGGTATAGTCTTTAATGTTACCCTTTTGAGAGTAATGTGGATTCCTTTTTTTCAGTTATATTCCATTGAAGTACTCTATTTATGAATTACATTAAAAACACTGGAGTAATAAAAGATACTGAGAAATAATATGTATTTTACCTTGGAGTCTCTTAAACATCATCCTTAAAGTCCCTATATCATGAGCAACTTTAATAGTTAACATATTTAAAAAAAAATACACAAGAAGGCCAAATGTGATGGCTCACCTCTGTAATCCCAACACTTTGGGAGGCCAAGGTGGTCCAATTTCCAGAGCCCAGGAGTTGGAGGCCAGCCTAGGCAACATGGCAAAACCTTGCCTCTACAAAAATTAACAAATTAGCTGGGTGAGGTGACATGTGCCAGTAGTTCCAGCTACTCAGGAGCATGAGGTAAGAGAATGGCTTAAGTCTGGGAGGTTGAGGCAGCACTGAACTGTGATTGTGCAACTGCACTCCAGCCTGGGTGACAGTGTAAAAACCTGTCTAAAAACAATGCTACCAGAAAATGAATTAAAAAAATAGAAAATGTACTGTATTAATACATAAATCTTAGATAATACAAAATCCAATTCTTGATACAAGATGTAGCCAAAATTGAAAATTTTAAGACATGATAAGTTTGAGGGCCCATCCAGCTGTATGATAAACATGTCTGTTGTTTTAATATTCAACTGAAGTAAAACTGCTACTGTTTGAAGGTATGCTTGTTTAAAGTCCTGTTGGCTTGTAAAATAGAACAAAAACAAAAACAATTAAAAACAACAAAATATCTCTTTTTGTATTATACATTGTGACATGTATGTAGTGCTTTATTCCTTTTTGTCAAATATATTATGGAGATTTAGTAAAATGACACTTCAGTATTTTCCTGTTCCCTATGACTTTTCTTCCACCCTTATCCATTAGAAGTCTTCCATGAATCTGATAGAGATCAAGTTGTAAATCAAACTTAATTGATAGGCACTATTAGAATCTCAAAATTGCATCCCTCCTTAGAGGACACTAAATGTTCTCTAATTAGGTCATGTCAATCATGGCTGTCTTCAAAATCATCCCAAGAAACATCTTAGCACTTATACAGTGAACAGTAATGCACCTCATAATGTTGTTTTCTTTTTTTATTTGGCATAAAAAAATCAGACTGTAAGTTAGTTATCAGGGGAAACTACCAAAATAATCAGACCAATGGTGCTGAAATAACTCTAGATTTTTGTTTTCTTCTTGCATCATGCCTATACACTCATAATTTTTTGTGTTCTTGAACATATATGTTCACAAACATATGAACTGCATACTCCTTAAAACTAAACGGACCTAAAAAAAAAGTTATACTGAAAATAATGCACACATTTTCCAACTGACTAATATAACTCAGTGATAGGTTAAATCTTCATCCAAGTGCAATATTCATATGCTTTTCAGAGCTTTATAAAATTAGCAACTTTTTACATGACTGAAAATAATCAAATATTGTTCATATTGCCTATTTCTAAAGAGGTACTTAAGTTGCTTATAACATTGTATTATAGTATAATTGGATTCTGTTTAAAAAATTTAGAAAATTATAATTTAAACATAATTATGTCATATGATTCCTGCTGTTTGTAATAAAGATTTTTATTACATGCATGGTTAATCTTTATTTTTAACATAAGCTTATAGTCCACAATGTAAAACAATTAATAACTAATACATTCTGGGACCTTTATCTCTTATGAAGACTTTCCAAATGGGTTGACTTTTTCTCCAAGGCTGATTAGAAATAATGTTAATTAATGGCTTTGCAATAATTAATTGAGAATCAAATTTTTCTTTCAGAAAACTTCTCCTCTGGAATTATCTTTCTTTAAATTACCTATGACTTTTTATATTTACATAAAAATACTTTTACTTTTCATTAGAATTAAGAAAACATTTCGGTAACTTGGGGATATCTGAATGATATAAAAGTCTATGAAGTAAAATCATAATGCCTCTATTTTGGACAATAAGACACATGCATTGCTCTAATTAAGTGTGCCAATTTAGAACTTATGTTTTTTATGAGTACATCATTTAATATACAACACTATATGTTTATTTTTTGCTACTATCCTGTAATAATATTTTTAGTATAATTTTAGCATAGTGATTATCTACAGTATTAATTTGAAATATGAAGCTTAACAGAATTAAAAGTCAAAATAAGAAAATAATTTCTCAAAACAATGATTGAAATATGAATTTATCATAACTGCTGAGTATGAAATATTAGTAATAAAACATGGGTGATATATTCTCTATACTTCTATACATTCAAGAGTTTTGCTCATAAATAAGTAAGCTGTGCAATTCTGTTGGATTTAATTTGCAAAGAAAAGCAAATAAAATATTTTTGTTTTTTTATCCTCTTATGCGTTCACATATCCCATTTGTTGAGGAAACATCTATTGGCAGCCACTTAGTGCCAAAAATTACAAACTGATACAACAGTATCTGATGACAAAAATATCAATAAAATTTCAAGAGGATTATCATTTTTTAAAGTCTGTTCTACATTCTTTTTTTCTAGCCAGGCTCTCCCACTAACCATCATAAGTCCCTACATGACCGTCTGCCTTTCGAATCCTGATATTGAGACTTGGATCATTTCTTTAAATATTTAAAAAGGAAAGATTGCCAAGGGATTATGTAGTTCATTGGGCAAGTAATTGATATGTATACTCTCAATCTCATGACTCTCTTAAAGTGATTTTCTATGTGTGACAAATTTATCAACTGTTTTTATTTTGAAAGCTAATGACTCTACACACATATTAAGAATACCTAATGGGACTCCTTTTGTGAAAATAAGCCTTTAGGTTATAAAGATGAAATATGGGGACAAGCTTCTGCATTTGCTGAACTGTTGATGACCTTTAATAATTGTGGTTACACTCCTCATTTTATTCTAGGTTCATTAAGCTCAGTATACTTTTAACGCATCACTCTCTCTAGCGTTTAGCAATTCATTTGTTCAACAAGGATTTGAGTGCCTACTCCAAGCTCTAGTTGGATAACTGACTAACCAGGATAAGCTATTTCCTTTAGTTGAGGCCATGAATTGAAATGTGTACTGACTTACAAAATATACTGTAAAATATTAAGTAGAATATAAAAGGAAAGAAAGAACCCATGTTTCAAAACTAAATGAAAGTGTCAGGTAGTATGCTTAAAATTTTTTTTGAACAAAATTATATGTTATCATGAATTTCCATGTATTGTACCAAATTTTAAAAATAAAAACAATTTTAAAATTCAACAAATCTGAAAAAGCAATAAAAATAATGTAGAGATGATCAGAAAAAGTCTACACATTTCTCTCTGCGCAGACTTTCCAAATGTATTGACTTTTCTACAGGGCTGATTAGAAATAATTTCAATTACATGGTTTTGCAATAACTAATTGAGAATCAAATTTTTTTATAGAAAACATTTCCTCTAGAATGACCTATTTTTCAATTACCATTGTCTCTATATTTGCATAAAATAACTTTTACTTTTCATGAGCTTTAAGAAAACAAAATAAGTGGGGTTGCCTTCTAAGTGCCACACACCCTTCCTAGAACTACAGATATATTAGTGAACAAAACAGCAAAACTCTTACTTCCTGATGCTTACATTTCGGTTATAGTAGATAGGCAGTACATGATAAATATAATAATTAAGTTATACTATATTAAGGAGTTGATGAATACCATGGGAGAAAATTTAGAAGACAGCTGTAGATAGGAAAATAAGGCTGGCCTGTGATCCCAGCACTTTGGCAGGCCAAGGTTTGCAGATCACCTAATGTCAGGAGTTCCGGACCAGCCTGGTCAACATGGCAAAACACTGTTTCTACTAAAAATACAAAAATTAGCCAGGGGTGTTGGCAGGCACCTGTAATCCCAGCTACTGAGGAGGCTGAGGCAGGAGAATCTCTTGATCCCAGGAGGTGGAGGTTGCAGTGAGGCAAGATTGCGCCACTGCCCTCCAGCCTGGGCAACAGAGCAAGACTCCATTTGAAAATAAATAAATAAGGCTGTTATGGAAAGAGGGTTTCAATAGTGTAAGATGGACAATATCAACTAAGACAAACATATTTATAGGTACCCAAAATAAACATCAGTGTGAACTACCTTATTTTTATTTTCTTCCCTTAATTCATTTTCCCCCCCTCATTCTTTCTGGATATCTCCAGAAATTCATTTTCCTTTATTTACATGCCTATGTACTGCCTATTAACGCACCTGATTTGGACCTACATACCCCAGGAAGTATATGTGTGCAACTTTTCCCACCTGATAACCCCCTACCAGCATTAGTTCAGCCTCATTTGAACTTCTACTAAAATCAGTAATAAAAATAATTTGTATCTTGACTCTAAGCAATTGCTTCCCATTCACTTTCTTTCTCTAATTTTTTCTGGGGCTTTCTTTCTCCATCACTCAGTATGTTGATATTATCAGCAGATTAATAAAATTTGACCCATGCCAACATAGCACTCTTTTGAGGCCTTTTCTCCTGTATAAAAAACGGAAGAATCTCTGAATACCAAAGACTAAGACATAAATCACCTTTTTTTTTGTCTACCAGTTATTCACTAACAAGTGAAACTGTAATTTTAAGTTTTGTATGGTAGAAATGCTCATGCGCATGGTGTGTGGGAAATAAGGAGGTTTATTCATGTAGTGCATACAATAATAGTTATGTATATAATACATCACAGTATTATCTATTTTATGTTAATGAGAGGTAACAAAACATTTCTTAATTCCAGATCCATGCTTTCAGCTATTCAATTTTTTTTAATGGTGAATTTCTTAGGCCTCACTGAAAAAAAAAAATTTTTTTTATGACTGAAATAATTTGAAATTTACCCTGATGTATAAAGGTTTAGTGGGAATTCATACTCCACAGTCACACTGCCACCTAATGGAGGAGGATAAAATGGAAATCAGACACTTGTTTCCCTTTCTTCAGTTCTTTATAATTCTTTGGTTGTTCATTTTTGTTTTCGGATTTTGTTTTTAAGAGGTTTTTGTTTGTTTGTTCTCTTCTTTGATAAAAGTAAGATTGTCCTGCTTCTGAGTTAATGATTATTGGTTAAAGGGTCCAATTACAACAGCTCAGCAGTTTACTGACCTACACTTTATCTCTCTTAAGGACTTAAAGTTAAAATCTTCCAGGATGTAACGTTCCAATTTTCTGAGGTTTCTGGTCATAGATTTGCAAATTGGAGATGAAAGTTGCTCTGGGCAACTTTCTACATTATCCTATTCTCCTTGCATTTCAGCAAACTTAATTTAGAAATGCTATATTTGGTTGCACTGAAAACAGTAATTACATTTAGTTATATGAATAATTCAAGTTTATGAGATTATTTTAAATAATACTAATAGCCTGTTGTTATTGAGAACGCTTCACTAAAATCATACTACCTATTTTACATTAATTATGTCATCTAGTTGTCAAAACACTCTGATTTTGTAATACTACTATCCTTTTTTTAGATTAGACATTAAAGCTTAAAAGGATCAAGGAAAGCTATCAAGCTCAAGAAACTAGTAAATATTTAATTCCAAAGTACAGATCATAATATTTCCCATGGTTCAACTCAACAAAAATTATGATATTACTAAATATGTTAATCTCACAGTTGTTAAAATACAGTCTTACATTTATATTCTAACTTCTAATTTAACCTTTGTAACTAGCTTCCCTCTATATCTATCCAAACTAGAAGAAGACAAATAGACCATAAACATTCGATTTAAGATAAATGTCTAAAAGCCTCTCGACAATTTTTTAATTAATAAACATAATAACATCTATAAGAAAATATGTATCAGAGGAATATCCTGTATCTGTGGTATGAGATAGAATTTTTTAAATCAAAAATAATAAATTATTGCCCATGTGTGGTTCACCTTAAAAAAATGATAACATCTCTAGTCAGAAAGTATGATAGGAACTGATCCCCTTAGTATATAAAACCAAGTTTCAAAAGGTATGACCAAAAAGTTAAACCTTTTGTATCCTTTCTGTCTGTGGATGCCATTGAGAAAGCACTGTCTCTTTTCCACTGCTGTCATGTCTGTTGGAATTTCCTAAAGGGCCTTAACAGCTACAGAAGCCTTCATCAGAGAGTTGAACTTTGAACAACCCATGAGTCTGAGGAGCCATTCTGAGCAAAGCAGAATGCTCAAGGACCATGTGGTATGAGAGAGTCAAAAGCAAGAACTCCAGGGGCTTTGTGTTTGTCACGTATGCCACTGTGGAGGAGGCAGATGCAGCCATGAATGCAAAGCCACTCAAAGTGGATGGAAGAGTTGTGCAGCCAAAGAGAGCTGCTGCCCTAAGATAAAATTCTCAAAGATCAGGTGTCCACTTAACTGGGAAAAAAGATCTTTGTGATCTAGAAGCAGAAATACTGTTCAAGCCAGTAATTCCATTACTGGGTATGTACTCAAAGGAGTATAAGTCATTCTATTATAATGATACATGCATGTGTATGTTCATTGCAGCACTATACACAATAGCAAAGACATGGAATCAACCCAAATGCTCATCAATTATAGAATGGAAGAAGAAAATGTGGTATATATACAACATGGAATACTATGCAGCCATAAAAAGGAAAGAGATCATGTTCTTTGCAGGTACATGGATGGAACTGGAAGCCATTCTTCTCAGCAAACTAACACAGGGACAGAAAACCAAACACCAAATGTTCTCACTCTTAGTGGGAGCTGAACAATGAGAACATATGGACACATGGAGGGGAACAATGTACACTGGGGCCTATTGGGGGTGGGGAGGGCATCAGCAAGAATAGCTAATGGATGCTGGGCTTAATACACAGGTGATGGGTTGATATGTGCAGCAAACCACCATGGCACTTGTGAAACAAATCTGCACATCCTCTACATATACTCCAGAACTTAAAATAAAAGTTGAGGAAAAAACAACATTCAATATGCAAAAAAAACCAATCTAGGAATATAAGACCTTTATGAAATCATAAGTAGACTGAAGGACAATAAAGGATACAATAATCAGAAACATCTATAGTGCTTATAAGTGGGAGGACTCGCTATCATGAATATTTCTCTTAGTTTTGATAAATAAATTTGATGTAAAAAGATCTTTGTTGGTGGCCACTAAAGAACATCAGTCACCTAAGAGATTGCTTTGAACAGGATGGGAAAAATGGAATTGATTGCAAGGATAACTGACCAGGGTAATGGCAAGAAAAGGGGTTTGCTCTTGTACCTTTTGATGACCTTAACTCTTTGGATAAGACTGTTCTTCAGAAATACCATCCTGTGAGTGGTCACAACCGTGAAGAAAAGCCCCATGAAACCAAGAGATAGCTGGTGCTTTAACCAGCCAAACAGGTCAAAATGGTTCTGAAATTTTTGTTGAAGTGGTCGTGGAGGTGTTCTTGGTGGATATAACAACTCTGGTTATCAAGGAAACTTCAGTGGTACAGGTGGCTTTGGTGGCAGCCATGGCGATGTTGGATACAGTGACAGTCAGCTTGGCTGTAACGGAGTTAGTAATGATGAGAGTAGTTTTGGAGGTGGTGGAAGCTATGATGATTTTGGCAATTACAATAACCAATCTTCAAATTTTGGACTCATGAAGGGCAGAAACTTTGGAGGCAGAAACTCTGACCCCTATGATGGTGGAAGGTAATATTATACTTTGCCAAACAATGAAACCAGGGTGACTATGATGGTTTCAGTAGCAGCAGCAGCTATGGCAGTGGCAGAAGATTGTAATTATTGCCAGAAAACAAGCTGAGCAGGAGAGGAGGGCCAGAGAAGTGACAGGGAAGCTGCAAGTTACAACAGATTTGTGGACTCAGCAAAGCACAGTGCTGGCAGGAACTCACTGCTACAAAGAAGACATGTTTTAGACAATACTCATGTGTATGGGGAAAAAAAAAATTCAAGCACTATATTTGTGACTAATTGTATAAGTTATTTTAGTTTCTGTTCTGTGGAAAGTGTAAAGCATTCCAACAAAGGGTTTTCATGTCTATTTTTTTTCCTCCCATGATGTTGATTGCTAAACACAGAAGTCTCATCATGATGCTGAATATATGTGTCCTGTTGTATAAAAACGGTAAGACTTTGTTTTCTACTTTTGACCATCGACTATTTTTCAGTATCAATTCAGAACATACAACTCCCAGAACTTAGTAAGGACAAAGATAAAAATATAATGTGATACACTGGTAAAATAGAAAATAGGTTAAAACTCTCAGATTAGTAATCAAGCTGACTTTATCTTGGTGAAATCTAAAAATTTCAAGAAAGAAAATAGTTTCAATAACCATTATAAATAAAAATGCAAATTACTTTAAGAAGCAGAAAACTCAAGTCTTGCTCCTTTCCACAAAAATAAGTGCTAGACATTAAGGATGAAATTTTATACCTGAGAATTGTAATTATTGATAAATTATCACTGAAGTAACAGAAAGGTATTTTTAAATATCTAAGAGCTCATAAATTAATGATACATGAAATGTAGGATGATGGGGACTGCTTCTACTTTGCCTGGGTTCTAAAGGAAGTAGCATATTTTAGGAAGAGCCAATTTTTGAAGCTAAGTTGGTAGAAGATACGAGAAATGTAACGTTCTATACTACAATGGTTCCAAAAAAGAAACAGTGAAAATAATATGAAACAACATACAACATGGCTATTCCATTAAGTATGATATTAGTTTTAATCTTCTTTGATGTACCTTATAAGATTGAGAAATTTCCTTTCTATTCTTATTTGCTGGCAGTTTTTTTCTTTTTTTTTTTTTTTATCAGCAGTGGACATTAAACTTCATCAAAAGTTTCCTCAACATCTATGGAG